ACTCTTTCCTGTTCTCTTTTTGAAATTCCCATAAGTCAGAAATTGAACTTCCTCAACGGCTTTTCTAATTGTTTCTGTTCGCTCCTTTTTTCTACCTCTTTGAGTTTCTGTTCTAATTTCTAAGAGATTTTTTCAACTTTATAGTCCTATACTTCTAATACATTTTTAAATTTTGCTTATCTTATTTTTAATTTTCCAGAACTCTCTTATTTTCCGATTGTTGGTTTTACTTGCATTCTGTTCAAGTGTCATGGATACGATCTCTTACCTCTGGAGATAATTACAAGTGGTGTTTTTTTTTTTAGGTTTTCTTCTGCTCCTTGAATTGCCATCTGTTTCTTCTAAGTTCTTTTTAACTTTTTGTTTGTTTTGGTCTGCCTTTTATGTTAGAAGCTTTCCTCAGATGTCTGACCGGGGGTCTTGGCTCACTGTCCATATTTAAATGAGGTACTACAAAGTTAACTGGAAGCTCTTCACCTCAGCAGAGCCTGTCTACTGCTGGCTTCACTACATGGTAGTCGGGAGGAGTCCTGACTTGCTGGAGGATGCCAAAACATCAACCTGTAAGTATTTTCTCCGGGGCCAGTCAGTTTTTCCAGTGAGGGGTCCAAAAAACTTCTGCCTAGTACATGATAAGCCTGGCTGCTATCATTCTGGAAGGCAAGTGGAAGAAAGGGGAGTAGAAGGAGATGAATTTCCAATATGGCTTCTTACCACCAATCCTGTGCTTGTTATCTCGGAGTCTGATGCTACTCTAGTTAAACTGCTCCTGAGAACAAATTTTGCTTCTCTTGACAGGGACAGGGGAAGAGCAGTCGCTTGGATGTGCACTTAAGGGAACTGGGGAATCCGATCATTCCTTATATAGATTTTCAACAAAAAGTCCTGTTTTTAGTGTCTTGCATTTATCTCTACCTTCCAAAGTATCTTATGCATCTAATTCCTGAACATTTTTGGAGCTGTAAAAAGTGATTCTCTTTTTGTCAGTGCATCCCTCTACAGACATAAAGGCATCAGCTTTTTCCGCTCTGCTAAAACAGTTATCACTCATTCATCTGCTCTCTGTCTTTCAAAAATGTGTTGACATCCTTTATTACCTCTTATTTCCTCTCCTGTTCTCTTTGCCCTTGTGGATCTATCACTTTTTATTCTTTTGTTACCATTTTATTAAAGTGTAAGGAAGAAGTGAAGATAAACACATCGATCTTCCACTTTTAATCAGTACTTATGTGTCACTGTCCCCCCAGTTCCCTACTGACTGTTCACTTATAGTGACTAATAATTCTGATTGCCAAGGGTTGTCTTTGGTTCGCAAAAGAAATGCAAAGAAAAGGATGAATTTTTCTGAGGCATCTGAGATAGAATCAAGAATAAAGTCTCAAGAGGCCATATATATCCATGAGAACAGAGAATATGGAGGACGTATATAACCAAGCTGTGACTAGTCAAACCAGGTAGAGGTAAAGCTTTGTGGTTTAAACTGCCTGCAAGGGAAATGGAGATACAAAGTATCCTACTTTTCTTCACTGACCATCAGGTGGCACTGTTGACCCAAAACAGCTTTGTGCCTTTGAGTCTAGCCAACAGGAAGTAAAGGAAAAGAGCTAGCTGCAGGGTGTTTCTCTATGTGAGTCACTCACAAGTCTGTCCCTTGGGAAATGGCTTCAAGAAAGTGTTGTACTGAAGAGTTGTTAGTAGGCAATAATGATACACTTGAAAAACCCATAGGATAGATACCATAACCATACTAGTTGATCTCAAATCTCAATTATCACCTAGAATACTACAAACCTACTGAATCTGAATTTCTAGAAATGGAGCACTGGAATCTATTTTTAATGAATTTCCCAGGGATTCAGATGTTAGTTTGAAAACAACTGAACAAGAACACACTCCAAAAGTGTTTCTGTATGTTTTTAAATACCCAAACACATTTAAATAGTTGGGGACATTGATATAGGAGACTAACCCCTCACTGCTGACAACATAAAGAATCTGTCCTCCTTGTGGAGAAAAAGGAATCCTCCTACACTGCTGGTGGGACTGCAAATTGGTACAGTCACTATGGAAAAAGTATGGAGGTTCCTCAAAAAACTAAGAATTGATCTACCATATGATCCAGCAATCCCTCTATTGGGTATTTACCCCAAACACTTGAAAATCCATATCAAAAAAAGATATTTGCACACCGACGTTCATAGCAGCATTATTCACAGTGGCCATGACATGGAAGCAACCAAAGTGTCCTATGATAGATGACTGGCTAAAGAAGCTGTGGTACATAAATACAATGGAATATTACTCAGCCATAAGAAAAGATGAAATACTACCATTTGCTACGACATGGATGGACCTTGAGATAATCATGCTAAACAAAATAAGCCAGACTGAAAAAGTTGAAAATCACATGATATCACTTATATGTGGGATATAAACCTAAAAGCAACAAATGAACAGGACAAACAAACAGAGACTTGAACAGAGCAAACAGAGACTCGGGAAATGGACAATGGACTAGTGGTTACCAGAGGGTAAGGGGTTGGGGAGGAGGGAAGAGGTAGACAGGGTAAATGAGGGTCAAATATAGCGGGGTAGGGGGAGGGTGAAGTGGGTAAAGGAGATCAAATATATGGTAGCTGAATGAAACTGGACTTTGGGTGGTAATCACACAATAGAATATATAGATGTCAAATTATAATGTACACCTGAAAATTATATAATTGTATTAACCAATGTTGCCCGAATAAACTTAATATATATATTTTTAAAAAGCAAATAAAAAAAGATAAAACCAAAAAAAACAGAGAATCTGTCCTCCAATATTAACAATAATTCCCTGGGTTTGGTACTTTCTAAAGGCTTTCAGTTTATTTTTTAAAGATGGAAATTGATTCTGTTGTAATTACATTCTTCCTATACAGAAAATGAGCTCCCTTTTAGAGCAATTTTAGGTTTACAATAAAATTGAGCAGATAATACAGAGATATTTACCAAAAAGATCTCATTTGAATATCACTAGCAACTACACCTAGAATCACTGTTAGCATGAAAGTCAGCATGATACTTTCATGCAGTGACAGTTCTGTGTCCTTTCACTTAATCATACATACTGTTCTTGGACAGCTTTGTTGTAAGCCCCAGCATTCAGTGTTTTTCTGATCAACTCACAGACGTGAGAGCTCTCTCCTGGGCACCGAGGGAGTCCAAAAACTCCTAGAGGAGTAGAAGACAAATACCCATCCCTTCATTAATCATGTGCTGAATACCTACTATGTACAAGGCACTGTGAGAAACAAAAACAAACCAGAGCTTGACTCTGATCTCATTCGTGTAGTCTACAAGAAAATAATGTATTGAGGATTAATACTATAACCAGCTTCTTCCTCCTAGCACCACATTCTTTCCTGCCCAAGGTCCTTTGCACCTGCTCCTTTCTGGAGGATGTAGAGGTATACCTCGGAGATACTGCAGGCTTGGTTCCAGACCACCACAATAAAGTAAATATCGCAATGAAGCAAGTTGCACAAATTTTTTGGTTTCCCAGTACATATAAAGCTACGTTTACACTTACAGTTATCTATTAAGTGTGCAATAGCATTAAGTTAAAAAAAAACAACAAAGTACATACTTTAATTAAAAATAACTTATTGCTAAAAAATGCTAACCATCATCTGAGCCTTCAGCAAGTTGTCATCTTTTTGCTGGTGGAGGGTCTTGTCTGGATGTTGAGGAAATGCAGTATCCGTGAAGCGCAGTAAAGCTAAATGCAATAAAATGAGGTATGCCTGTACTACTTTTCTTGCTGCTTCAGTGGCTGGACTCATTCGCACCTCGCAGGCCTTAGCTTAGAGAAGGCACATCTGACTACCCTAACTCAAGTAGTGTCCAACCCCATTTCTTTCCCCTCCCCCAGTTACACTTTCATCCTCATCAGTGTCCTCAACATTTTTGGAGGGTACCAGGCATAGACCAATATATTGACAATAATTAATTTAACCCTCAAAACTACCCTATGGAATAGAAATCATTATTTGACCAATATTACAGATCAGAAACTTTAAAACAGAGAGGTTCTAAACATCTTCCAAGGTTAGACAATAAGTGATAGAGCCAGGAGATGAACACAGGCAGTTCAGAGCCCACACCTTTGACAAATACAACCGCAATGCTATCCCTCAAGTAGTAACCCATGATTTTTCATCATACTTACCATTGTCTGTATTTATTTTGTTTGTTTCATATCTATTCTCTCCCCTACCCCAACTAGAATGGATGTTTCATGAAGGCAGGGACCTTGTCTGTCTTGTTTCTAGGTTTTCAATAAATATTTGTTGAACAAATGAATGATAAAGCTATTTTTTACCAACTTGCATTTAAATAATACCTGCACTTTTAGAAAATATTTTCCTACCTATTATTTCACCTCAGTCTCTGAAAAATTTCCACAAGATGGGCAGGGCCTTATTTTATTTTCCATCATTTGTAAAAAGGACCTCAGATACCAAACTACTTGCCCATCAGTAACAATTAATTGGGTGAATCCAGTTTCCTGATTATAAGAAGAATCCTTCTGCTTCTCCAGTATACTAGCTAATAGCCATATCCATCAGAACAAAGATAAAGTTCTATTCTAAGGACACATTCTTCCCCCAAAGTAATAATTCTGCTTAAATAGAAAACCTGTTGTTTTTTTTTTGAAGGATTTAATCTCTTCTGTTATTTTACAGACAAAAACTTAGACACTCTTCTTTGCCTAAGCCTAAATTCAACAGGACATCACCAATGTCAGAAAATAGGAAAAATTATTAGACTTTCCTAATTCCTTAACCACCACCTGCTACGTGGCTGCAACCATCTCACCTCCTGGAAATCATTTCAATTAAACTGGGAAGAAGTAGATAGTAACCTAATGATTTGTTCTGGAATTCTAACTCTCTTCCTATTTTTTCAGGAATGCTGGCTAATTTGTAACAAGCTGGAAAAACAGGATTTTGCAAGGATGGCTGACTTCTTGTACAAAGAGAGCTGCAAGAATTTTTAAAAATCAAGTGGTCATATAGGTTAGAACAGAGAAAAAAGGAGGCAAAGAGACCAAAGTTACCTTGATGTTGTCCCCCAACTGAGATTAGATTGATCATGGGAGGCGAGGGGCATCTCTGAGCCACTGCCCTCCTGGAGAAAAAAAAAAGGATCAGTTCCCACTGACAGATGGAAATGTATCATCAACAATCAACTTCTCAGATTAATCTACTTAATTCTTTGTGGTTTCCCAATGCCACAGAGTTTCAGGATTTTCCTCTGATGTGGCCAAACACAAATATTATTCTTTCATAGAAAACAAATTAAGCTCTATAAAGCTTTTTACATGGAGATGTTTTAGAGCAGTTTCTCTTCCAAGATAGGTGAAGATCCCAAAAGAATTAGAGGAGTGGATCCATCTGAATAAAAGGGGAAAAAAATCAATTCCATGTAAATGGTTTGATATAACAGAAAGGCACTTACAGAAATTGGCCTCCCTGAGAGAATCCCATAGCATTGTAGCCTTGCTTCAACTTAGGGTCCTTAGCAAGAATCTGACATGCTGTTGTTACTTGAGAATTGACATTCAAGAAGAAGCTGTTCTCCATATCCTAAAAGAGGAGCCATAGAGAAGTGAAAAGATGGGGCTGAAAACAATGGTGACATCTTCTCTAAAAGGTGAACCTGTTTAGGTTGGTATCCTCACTTAAACCACTCAAGAGTTAAAGTATCATTGTATATGTATATATATATATTTTTTTTTTTTGGCAAGAGATGAGAATGTTGTTGTTGTTGTTGTTGTTTTTCATAGTATAATTTGCTGCTGAAAATACAAGGTAAAGGATTTTATTAGTACACTCCATAAAATTAGTCAGCAAACCTTCAAAGGAACAGAGCTGTGAAGGGCCTTACCTCTATCAGGGTCTTCCCAATCTCTAGAGATAAGACGTAAATTCCAGGTATTTTCATTTCCACCATTTTTTTGATAGCACCCATGCTTAGGGGATTACAACAGCTGTCTCCTAGACAACAAACACAATGGTGGGAACTCATGAATCAAAACATTATTTATTTAAAAAAAAATTTATGCTTCAAAGGGCATTATCAAGAATGTGGAAAGACAACTACAGAATGAGAGAAAATATTTGCAAAACATATATCTGATAAGGCTTTAATATCCAGAATATACAAAGAACTCTTACATCTCAACAATAAGATAACCTATTGAAAATGGAAAAAGGAGTTGAACAGACATATTTCCAAAAATGACCTACCAATGGCCAATAAGCACATGAAAAGATGTTCAACATCATTGTCATTAAGGAAATGCAATATCAAAACTACAATGAGAGACCACTTCACACCTACTAGAATGGCTTTAATAAAATAATTAATTAATGAAAAATGAAAAAATAACAAGTGTTGGCAAAGACATGGAGAAATAGGAACACTTATACATTGCTGGTGGAAATGTAACATGATGCAGCCACTGTAAAAACAGATTGGCGGTTCCTCAAAAAGTTAAACATAGAATTACCATATGACCCAGCAATTTCACTTCTAGGTATACATCCAAGAGAAATAAAGATATATCCATACAGAAACTTGTACATGAATGTTTACAGCAGCATTATTCCAAAAGGTGGAAATGACCCAAATGTCCACCAATGGATGAATGGATAAACAAATTGGGTAGACATATAGAAATATATAAATAGAATAGTACTCAGCCATAAAAAGAAATGAAGTACTGACACATGCTACAATGTGGATGAACTTTGAAACATTATTATAAGTGCAATAAGCCAGACACAAAAGGTCACATAATGTACAATTCCTTTTACATGCTATATCCATTTTAGGCAAATCCATAGAGACAGAAAGCAGAGAGTGGTAGGAGGGGAAATGAGGAGTGATTACTTAATGTGCACAAGTGTTTTCTGGGGTGATGAAAAAATTTTGAACTAGAGAGAAATGGTGGTTGTAAAACATTGTGAATATACTAAAGGCCATTTTATTATGGTTCATTGTATGTGACATGAATTTTACCTCAGTTAAAAAAACATTTTTGAATGTTTAGCTCACGTTTATCAAGTAATAAACTTCAAAAGCAGAAGTGCCTATTCCCCTCCCATATCATCAGGTATATTTGGGGTTAATAGACTTAAAAGCGGTTTAGAATCAGATTTCTCTTTAGGGCTGGGACTAGGGTAAAACAAGCGAAGCACCTAGGACACAAAATTTAAGGAGGCACCACTGCCAGGTTTGTGCAAGTGCTGACCCTAAATTTGCACAAATTAGAGCGTGTGCTTCCTTAAATTTTATACTCTAGAACATTTTGATGGTTGCAATTGGGAAGGGGAGGATGGATGAAAAAGAGGAAGGGATTAAGCTGTACAAATTGCCAGTTATAAAAACAGTCAAGGGGTTGTAAAGTACAGCACAGGGAATATAGTCAATAATATCATAACTATATATGGTATCAGATGGGTACTAGATTTATTGGGGGTGATCACTTCATAAGCTATACGAACATCTGATCACAATGTTTTACACCTGAAACTAATATAATATTGTATGTCAACTGTAACTGAAAAAAAAATTTAATTATTTAAAAAATTTACACCCTATGCACTTACTTGTCTCACCCAAGGCCTAGTCCTGTTTCAAGGAACCAGAACTGAAAACTAGAAGAAACTGACAGGCCACTGAGTAGGAGATGTAGGCTGAGATCATTTACCATTTTAATTTAACCATCCCATTTTCAACCTGAGAGGAAGGTTAAGAATTAGTTTTTAAAGAAGAAAAGCTAAGGCCTACAGAATCTTCTATTTCTCTCATAATAACACTCATGGCACTGAACTGTAATTGTTAGTTATTTAACTGCCTCTCTATGGACTGACTGCGCTCTGGGAGGACATGGAGCATCTTGTGTTCTCTTTTAACTCCACTGTAGCAGCCCCAGAACCCGGCACAAAACCTTGAAAGAACTGTCTACATTTGCTGACTCTAATTGCTCTCTGAACATTTCTCTTTAATCCATTCCAAAAGGCTCTCATTCTCGCCACTCCCCCAAAACTGCTTTTGCAAGGATCTTTAGTTAACTTTATACTGCTAAATCCAATAACCAATTATCAGCCCTTATCTTACCTGAGCTGTCAACAACATTCCATATAGTTGATTACTTCTTTCTCCTTAAAACATTTTCATCTGTCTTCTAGAACATTGCACTCTCCTGACTTTCCTCTACCTCCCTGTTGTTCTATCACTGTCTTTGTTAGTTTCTCCTCACCTCTTTAACCTCCATATGTTGAGAGTGCCTAAAGGCACTCTCAGATCTCTTCCCTCCTCTGTGTAAGTACACTCACTCCCTAGATGATCTCACCCAGTCTCATGGCTTTAAATACCAGCTATATGCTGAAGGCTCCCGGAACTTAAATCTCCAGGCTGTATTTCTGTCCTAGACTCCACACTCCAAATACCTCTACATCTCCTGGATGTCTAACAAACATCTCAAATTTAATAAGCCCAAAAGCGGACTCTCGATCTTTTCCTCACCCCAAATTTGCTCCCCTACAGGCTTCCCCATTTTGGTAAAATGACAACTTCATCCTTGTTATTGTTCAGACCAAACTCATGGAGTCATCCTTAATTCTCTTCTTTCTCTCATTCCACATCTCATCTGTTAGCAAATTCCATTGGTTCCACCTTCAAAATATTCCAAACTTCGACCACTTCTCAACATCTCCATACTGTTTCAAGTCATCATCTCGTTTAAATTACTGCAATAACTTCCTAAACTTGACTTTCTGCAAATGTCCATGACTCCCTACAACATAGTCATATAGTCTCAATATAAAACTTGATTGGTCCTTTTAAAATGCAAGTCAAGATCATATCACTCATCTCAACACTCCCATTCAAGGGCTTCCTACCTCATTCTAGCCAAAGTCCCTACAGTAGCCTCAGTAGGCCCACCAACATCTGAACCATCCCCACCTAAATCCCGATTTTTCTTCTCCTTGCTCACTCAGTTCCAGCCACACTGATCTAAATGTTATTTCTTGAGTATACCAGACATACTTCTGCCCCAGGCCTTTGCATTCGCCGCTCCTTTTAACAGATAGCCACATGGCATCTTCCTTGGTCTACTTCAGGTTTTTGCTCAGATGTTACTTTCTCATTGAATTCTTTCCTGATCTTGCTCAACAAAATTGCAAGCCCCATCTTCAGTTTCTATCTCCTCTCTGCTTTATTTTTTTCCATTGCACTTACATCATTTGACATATTATATGTTTTACTTATTTCTTTATAGTCTGTCTCTCCCATTTAAAAGTTCCAAAAGAGCAAAGAAGTGTCTGTTTCATTCACTACTGTATCCTCAGCATCTAGTAGGTCTCAATAACTATATGTTAAATGTATAAATGAACTATAGGTGCCTAACAAATCTCTGTTCAGTGTGTGAACGAATAAAAGGATGAATGCCCGGGTCACATGGCCACTGCCCAGCTCTCGTGAGCAAGTGCCAGATTCTGCACCCTAACCCCACTGCTATGAGGATTACACAAGGACAGCAATTAAAGCTCCAATGCAGTACGTAGCCTTCTGTGAGCGCTCACCAAAAGACAGTTCCTTCCCCTCCTTCCTTTCCGATGTAGAGTAGCCCCCAAATTCTCACATAGGGCCAGCCGGGTGCTGTGTGACCACGGTCTTCGCCCTCGGCACTCGCACTTTGCAGACGCGAACCCAGAAAAAAACGTTTTGCCCCTCCTCTCAGTCACTCACCCATCCCATGCCAGATCACCAACGGCAGCGGCGCCGGCAGGTCAACATGCCCTAGCGCCAGGGGACCGCAAGACCTCGGGAGAAGAGCGATGGCCAAGAGGAAGAAGGCGCTGGACGACGCCATCTTGGTACAATCACGTGACCACGTTCCCACAGCGCGGGCCTGGCGCGGGCAGGACAGAAAACATCCTCCACGCCTCCGTCTTGGCTACTGGGCTGGGTGGGCGTTTCCCCTGGCGTGTTGCTGTAGTAGACTATCCACTGCTGTGAGTCAAAATGAATGCTAATATTTATTCAGCGCTTACTGCACATCAAACACTATTCTAAGTGCTTTACATCTGTTAACTGATGTATCGTGATAACCGTATACACGTCTCCCCATTTTACAGTCGGGACGCTGAGGCGCTGAGAATTTGGGTAAGATGCCAAAGTCACAGAGATAGCAAATTGGTGGTTTCAAAGTCGGTGCTCTTAACCACTGCCTTTGGAAGAAAAACACTTTGAGGAAATAAGAAGTCAGGACTCAGCTCTCTATTAGGAAGGGACAGGAGGGATAATTTGCAGCCAAGGCCAATCAAGGCAGGGGGTGGTATTTATTAAGGATCTCGAAGGAAAGATGAAATGCGGGAGGACTGGAATGAGCTAAGGCAGAGTGGAGGAAAAATGTTTTCTGGAAATGGCAGGGTTTTCCAGACTGACAAGAGCAATTGTTGGATGTATAATAGTGATAGAAAAAAAACTCTGCCACTTCTGGTCTGATCTCAGAGCTGGGTTATTGCAGGAGCCCCTCGCCTACCATTTTTCCCTTTCCATCCCTCTTTAATCCATTTTGTGTTTTATTGCCAGATTCATTACCTCTAAATATTTTCATCATAGATCTCTATTCAAGGGTTTTTTGGTTTTTTTTTTTTTTAAGAAAAACATTGAAATAGTTTAAATAGAGGATTTAAGTAAATTAAGGTGTATCCACTATGCAATGGAATATTATGAGGCAGGTTTTATAAAGGGTAAGGTAGGTTTATATATAGGACATGATAAATATCTTCAGTATATTGTAAAGGAAAAGCTGGTTACACACTCACCTGAAGCCCTTTACCTGATGCTGTTGGGACTGTTGGTTACTTGTTATTGATAAAGTCAATTAAAATGCAGAATCATAAAGCATTATACAAAATACAGTTTTGTTTTATTTTAAGAAAAATAAGTTTCGTGTATGATAAACTTTTTTTAGCTTATAAATGTAAGTTACTTTGCCAATCTTTTGAGATAGGCTCAGGCTTTTTCTGTGATAATGGGGCCTTTGAAGTGCTTCTTGGAGTGATTTGTACTTCTTGCCTTTAATAAATCATCAATGATTTCTTCAAATGTTTCTTTAAAATGGAGCAATAACTAGAAGACACTTGTGAAGCAATCTGAAAGTAAAATTCTTATAGATTTGTAGCTGTTCCAATCACAAATTTCTCACACATACTTAATTTAACAATTTTTAGCAACTTGCCTTTAACGAGTCTTTCCAAAGCATTCAACTTAGTTTTCAATGAAACATCTCTTTTATCTTTCATAAGTTTTCATGATTTAATTAGATTACAATAGCAAATTTTACTGATATCAATAAGTGGAATAAACCCAACTGACATTTGGTAGTCATGCTCAACTGGCAGAAATAGAACTACCCAGAATTTCTCAAAAGTAGCCTCCTAGCCATGTTTAGCATGCTGTGGGCATCAGTAAGTACATTTTAAGATTGAAAGAGTAGGTGAAATAGAAATTAAGAAAGTAACTGTATTTTTGAAAAAGTATATGTGTTGGGGTAATGGTTACACCACTCTATACTTAGTAAAATCACTGGATTGTACAAATGAAAGGGGTGAATTGTATGGCATATAAAACCTACCTTAATAAAGCTATTCCTTCAACATATATGTTTTCACATATATCTAGTGATGTTCACTGAAAGGCCAAAGCACTGACAAGAAAAAAAGAAAAATTTATAAAAATATCAGAGAATGTTAAAAGTAATATTCTTGGGGCTCATATTATGAGGAACTTTCACTTTTACTTTATACATTTCTGTATGCTTTGAATGTTTACAGAAAGGATATATAACTTTTATTTTTTCCTAAGTTTTTCTCCCCAGTTTTACTGATATAATCTACATACAACATTGTATTAGTTTAAGTTGTACAACACAATGATTTGATATAAGTATATATAACTTTTATAATTAGAAAAAATAAATATGTACATTAAAAAGTATTGTACTTCTAGGTTAAGATAATGGAATAAAGCTTTCTCACAGACTCTGTTTCCACCAATACCTAAGAAAGTTTAAAGTTAAAATTTTATCTACAGAAAACAAAGAGTAACAGCTCAGTATCTTAAATTCAACAGATTGCAGGCAAGGAAAGAAATAGATTTTGGCCTGGAGCTTGTCAAGTCTTCCAATCCTGCCTCCATTCCATCAAAACTCATACTGTTAGGTTTACAAAATCCTGGGAATTAACATATACATATGCACATATGTTCCAAGAGAAAAGAAAATTAAGTGGTTTCCTTATCTTTCACCTCTTCTCTCTGGAAAGGTGAAAATGGCTAGTGGGGAGAAGGTGAAATGAGAAGTGAAGAACAGACTATCTCTTTTAGGAAGCAGTGAAGAGTGCAGGAAAGCATACTGAATTGGAGGAGATTCCAAAGAA